TGTGTCTTGATTTTTAACTGGTCTCGTTAAATTTTTATATGTTGCTGCCATGTTAGTCTTCTGTCTAACCGCATCCCGAGGTAGTTAGTGCTAGTGCATTCTGGAATAATTGTTTGATTGAGATTGACGCTGGGGCAATCTCCTGCTTTCATGTTGAAGGTAACATGGGCTGATTTTCTTTCATTTACCATAATGTTCCAATTTCGGTGCCAGGATTCAACTGCGTTCAGTTGTTTTTGAACAGTTTCAGACGCTTCGTTTGCAGAGTAAGAAGATTTCAAGAATGGCGGTGTCGTCCGCAGCAGTTATATTTTCGTCGTTTATTATTGGCATATCGGCTTACAATGTTGGGCCAAGCACGCTGCCTTGCGGAAGGGCGGCTTTGACTTCGTATATGTCGGAAGTGTCATTATTAATTCTAGCGTAAAAATGTCTGCAATCTAGGTATAACCGAAGAAATAGGTAGAATTGAGCTGGTAGTTTCATTTTTATTTTAAATAATAACTCCTCATGCCAGACCCTATCGAAGGTTTGTTGAATGTCTAAGGAAACTGCCGAACAATACTGTTTCTCTTCGAGACATTTTAGTATGGTTTTTACGATTCTGTGGCACGATTAAGCGGTTCCATGCCTGAATCCAAATTGATGGTCTGCACAATTAAAGGTTAAAACTAAGAATAGCAGGCATTTCCTTGGTAATTGTTTGATTGTCCGTGCATCAATATTATCTGAGCCAGGCGATTTAGAAATTTTCCACTGTGACACTTCTAATTGTACTTCAGTCAGTTTAACGTAATGTATTGGTTTATTCATTTGACATGGATTCTCAAGAAAAGTCTGAACATTTTGGCGCTGATGGTCAGTATTGAGAGCAAAAGGCTTGAAAGTATTCGCAAGGTGGTTACCAAACACGTCGGCTTTGCTTTTGTTAGATCTACACCAAGAGTTGTTTTCATCTTTTATCGGTACCTGTCGCATCGGAGGACGTTTTAGGTATTTAGTAGTTTTTCACAGAGTGTTTTCATAGTTTTTATTTGGATCAGCATTCTTAAGAAATTCTGCAATAGATTTTTCTTTCAGCTCTGCCAACTTGGATTTTAATTCTTTAGTTGCTTTATTTAGCTTGGTTTTGTTAACCGGATTTCTACTATTCTGCCAGATACTTCGAAGTCGTCTTTTAATTTGTACCATCTGCGCTCCTTCATCTGAATATGGCACATTGTTGGTAATATATGGTTTAGAAGAATTAAGAGGAGAAGCTAACGAAGCGGCTAGATGTATTTTTTGGGTGAAGTTTTCCACAGTGTCAGCTAAGTCTCGTTTTGTTGTTATTTCCATGTTAAGGTTTACGTGGGACTCCAACCAAGTTTGGAAAAATCGTATGTTCGATCTTTTTGTTAAAGAATGCTGCTTTCGGGATATGACAAACACAAGCATATTCATATTGATACTGAGAGCGGAATGATTTGAGCTCATATCTTCATTATTCGAAATTTCTAGATGATGCGAGTTTATGCCGGTATAAATTGTGAAGTCAATTAGATCCGGAATTTTGTGCGGATCAGTCGGCCAGTATGTGGGTCTGCCAGCAGATAAAACATTTAAGCTTTTTTGAGATACACACTTGTAGAGTTCGCGGCCTTTGAGATTCGTAAGGCGTGAACCCCACCATGGATGTTTGGCATTGAAATCACCTCCGGCTAAAAATCTGGTACCCATTTTGTCGAAAAATTATTTAAAAGTTTCTTTGCTTATATTGAATCGAGGTGGGAGATATACAGAAGTTATAACAATCGTTCCACTGCCGGTCTGGATTTTCAAAGAAGCTGCTTGAATTGATGGTACTGAAACTGGCTCTAAAACGATGTGTTTCAGTGATGATTTTATAAGAATTGCTGAACCACCGTTTGCTTTACCGTCGGAGTGGTTTGAAGTAATGAGATCGAATCCATTAATTTTAAAATAGGACTTAGCGGTAAAGTGGGTTTCTGAAACCAGTAATATATCTATATCTAGTCTATGGCTGCTTAGTCCATTGGCATTCCAAATCGCTGTTTTTAGACTTAATTGCATAGCTTAGTTAAGAGAGAAGACATCATATTTATTAGTGTTGTGGTTAGCTCAATTTGTTTGGCAATGAATTCTTCGAGTTTGTCAATTCTTTCATAGCGTACTGTGGTTGTAGTAGAACTAAGTTTTCCTCTTGTTACATCAGCATAGCTAACATTTGTATGGGGAACTTGTTGTTTGGCATTTGTAAGTATGACCAAGGAAGGCCTTGTCTTATTATTAAGCAAGTCTTTTTTTGACACTAATTACTGATAAATTTTACAACCTTTGTAATGGCGGTATGCTTTTGAAGGCAATGGAAGCATTTCGATGGAGTTTCGCTATCTTTTGAACAATGAGACGAAGGATGGTCTAGTGCACACTTTACACATCTATAAGGCTTTTTGGATTATTGCTTTGTCTGGTAGAGTACTTAAACCATTTTGCTTTCCAGAAGTTTTTGTTTTTGTTCGCTAACCGCAAAATTAATAAAGCTTTACAAACTGATGAGGAGACGATTTGAGTATTAAATATGTTGTTCGAATACTGTTGAAATATGAAATTTCCTACCAATTTGTCTACAATAAACTTCGCTAGTTCTTGTTATGCCACTTTACCAGAATAAATACATTTTTGTTGGCGCTTAATTTTCTCCCTCGCCGCGGTGGCGTCCGCTATGAAAAAAAGACTACGAAAATGTTACACTTTTGTTGAGAAAATTTTACGCGATTTTTATACGCTCATCGCCAACGTCTAACCTCTTTCGCTCGGTATTCATGTACCTTGAGCAAACGTTATAAAAAAATATGTACATAAAAATGTATAATTTATATAGTTGCCACTTTTGCGGCTTAACACTCGACAACCATTTATTAATTGAGTGCTGGAAGTTCATAGTAATTCCGAGTTTGCTGTTGAAGTTGTGGCATAAAGTTTATGTGTTATGTTTTATGTCCGCGTAAAAGTAGAAAGGTAAGTATAAAGAAACGGCAATTACTCAAGTGAGAAGTATACCTTTAGGCAGTGTGAAAAATATAGAAAATAACTCGAGTTTATTGTTGGTTTATTGTTGCTTTATTGTTGGCCTTAAACTCTACTAATTAACACTGGGTTACGAAATAATTTTCTTTTAACTCTCGTGCAATACTACTTATTGTTCTGATAGATCGTATATTTATTTCGGCACTAACTCGTGTTTATAGTTTTTGTGTGAAGTATTTTCGTTAGAGTTGTTCACACACTCTATCTTGGAAATTTTTCCAAACTTTCTATAAATATATCGACCACATAAGATCTAAAATTCTTAGCAGGATTATCTTTTCCCAACAGCTAGTAATGAGTTTACCATAAATCTGATGATATTGAGTCAACAACTTGCTGTTTTACGAAGAAAGTTGCTGAAATCCATTCACTCATTCTTAACGGATCTAAGTGAACTTAGTAGATCTCGACGCAAAAGTACACAAATAACTAGCCTTTTTAAACTGCTTGCCAAAACCAAATCCATAATTTTTTTTTTTTTTTGGTACAACTTTGTCCAAATAGTAGCGGCTTTTCCTGGATATTATCCAATAGGCAAACTGTTAAAATTTCAGTCGGATGCTAGTAACTAGGTACTTTCTCCTTTATTGGCCAGCCCTTACAAGACTGCGTTTGAAACATCTCGATTCTTGGTCGATTTATGAGGACTTTTATGATAGATTTTGTAGGAGTTCTAGGTAGCACAATGAACCTTTGTTATAAACTGTCCAAGTAAGACCCGTATTAGGAATGACCAGTACACCTAAACTAATCTGGTATAACCTTGTAGAAGTGTTTAAGGAAGTCTACTTTATCACAAAATCGCAAAAGCGTTAAGGTGAAGTAAGTTCATGACGATTATCGAACTGGCGATAACATCGAAAGAGTTGAAGAAACAGTCTTTGAAAATCGTCGAGTAAGCATCAGAGAAAAAATAGCGGCTCTCAACTTCTCTTATCGGGCGACTCACCATATTTTTTGGTAGCAAAAAAACTGACAATTTTTTTAAAAACGAAGTCGACTGGTTGCTAAAGAGATGCTTGACAACGTAGCTGAGTTCTCTGCATTTATCAAACGGACTCTTACTGGTGATAAGATGTGGCTTTATGAATATGAAGTTGGAACTGTTCAACAATCAACAATAATACTCCAAAATAAGCCGAAATCGAAATACCGAAAATTCACTGAAGGCCTTGAAGACCATCCCAGCCGAAGCATTTAAAAAATAAAATGAAAATTGGCGTTAATGGGATTCAATAAAGATTTTTTACATGGCCTAGGTCATCCTCGAACTGATAATATACCGTATTTAGTTACGATCTCGATCGCTTTTTAGTAAAAATCGTGCAAGGGCATTAAGATAGTGTCATAAATAAGAAACAGTCGAGCAAAGCTACGGAGGTAGGTTATGTTGGGTTAATCTGGTAGGCCAATGCACCATCCATAGGTAAGTTTTGGTACTTTGGTCACTCAGTTACTAGGTTCATTAGAAGTAGTCATCCTTTACTATATCCAGATGCTAACAGCGTGGTCTTGCCAATGCGGGATAAGAGCACAAGTTCCATTGATTCCCTGGTGCCTTGCTCAAGACATCTCCTGCAGTCTTCTAGATTTGTCAGTCCCATTCTGCGGGCTCGTGTAGCCACCAGACAGCTTCGGAGATAAATATTCGTGTAGTTGCAACTCAAAGTAGCGTTATAATACTCTTATGCTCTCTATAGATCATTACTATTCGCTTTAGATGCGCAGTAAACGTCTTACTAACACTAGACTAAACAAGAGTTGACTGGATGTGAGAGAATCTACTTACTTTGTATGTGGTGCGCACTACTCGCAGCTTCTAAACAATTTTCTCTATGCTCTTGACGCCCTCTATATAAATGGATGCAGAACTCGGTGACAGTAAACAGTTTTTTTTTAAGTAAAGAAGAATGACATGCTCACCAGTTCGCTTGAATACCTTTACTCTTTTATTACTTCTTTTCAATACCGGTACGGAAGCAGGACTCATAAACATATTTGCGGGTGCGATTAACATCGCAGCTAGAGTGGTGACTACTTTGACACCATCATCGGGAATCTTTTCTTACACCGCGAATAAGTTAATCGGCTATTCATTAACGACTGTCGCCGGGATTGTAGATAAAATCTGTAAGTGTTTCGTTTCGGAAATTATACAGAGATTAACAACCGTTGCCTTATTATATCAGGTACAATAGGGCTCAGAATCAAGAGGCATATATGGTGGAGCGAAGTGGATTTGACGCATATAAAATTTCAACTGCGCACGGCCTGTTCGAAATACACGTACTCTTTAAGGGATGCGTGGAAACTGCTGAATAATTCCGACTTCCATCCGAGTCGGAAAGTGGTCATTATGGTCAGCGGTTGGACGCAAACAGTAAATCATTCGGACACCATCGACAAAATGGCCAAAGTGTTTAACTGTCGTGGCGATGTTAATTTTCTGGCACTTGATATGGACCAATACCTGAACACCTTCTACATTTGGGCTGTGCAGAATACGGACAGCATTGCCTTAGGTCTAGCACAGGGCCTCACAATGTTGAAGGAAGTGATACCAATTAAGAATATACAACTAATCGGTCATAGTTTGGGTGCGCATATTGTCGGTCATGCCGGTCGTTATTTCACGGAGAGAACGGGCGAAAAGTTACCATACATCACCGGTTTGGATCCGGCGAAGACATGTCTAGCTGCAGAACAAAGGATTGGAAGAGATGACGCGCATAGAGTCGAAATACTGCATACGAATCCCGGTGTGTTGGGCATCGCTGAGCCTTTGGGCCACATTGACTTATATGCGTCATTCCTACGTCCATACGCCAATGGCTGCCGGGATGTTGTCTGTTCGCATATGCGTGCTGTGGACTATTACGTGGAGTTTCTTTATCCGGGCAATAAAAGCGGTTTCCTTGCCAAGCGATGCGCTTCGTGGGAGCATTTGCGTGCCGAGCAATGCACAGGCAAAAATTATGCTATGGGAAATATAGATTTCCGCGTTCGTGGGGAGATATTCGCTTTGGATTTGAATCCACGGTCGCCATTTGGTAGGGACAGTCTATCGAAATATGGCTCGCGGCGGTGGGATTGTGGTCTGTGTCAGAGGTAGAGTCCCACAAAGTAAATTAGAAGTGAACTTTAAATGTATAAATTAAAATTAAAAATAATATATAAAGTATATTTATTGTATTTTTCAAGAAATTACTTGTATACATTTGTGTGGTTATAATAAATAAGTTATGTAAAAAGCAATTGTTTATAAGCTATTAATATGTTAATAAAGTTTAGCATAAGAACAACTCAAAGTATTACAAAAATTTGCAATAATTGTCTTTTCTGAACAATGCATTATAGTTTTTTTTTCTTTTGTTTTTCTTTTTTTTTTTTTTTTTTGTATCTGTTGGCGCTGAAGCGCAGTGCATATACGAGTAGAAAGCAGTGGGAGCTACGAGCCAAAGAACAATGGGAATAATAATTGAAAAATAATATTAATAATAATAAAAGAGAAGAAAAATGTTAACCCCGGTCACACCGAAGCTATAATACACCCTTCATAGCTCAAAAAATGAGCGACTAGTTCGCTTTGAATATTTGCATATATACAAAAAATATTTATTTTATAGAGTATTACTTTCTGCGTCACAATCTTAATATCCTTTGGTCAGTATATAGGAAGTCTGACAAATGAGCATCTAGTTTGGAAAAAATGGACATATGTATAATTCCATATCGAAGTCTCAACTGAGGGATAAATCACTCACAACTAACAAAAAAATGTTTTTGCCGCAACACAATCAGTGTTCTCCACACCTTTTGCAATTTACTGTCTGCCTTCCTCTTTGAAAACTTTTTTAGCTTTACTTGTATCACCATTTTTTTTACAATAAACTATATATAGTATTTTTCTAGTTGCTTAACCCATGCCACGTGGGGTAATGAAGAAAGCAAAGTTGTTAACTTTTGTGCTGCGCAAATTTTACGCGTGTTTTTATCGCGCCCTCTTGTACCGGTTAACAGCTGGATTCGCGCATTCTCACCTTGACCTGACATAAGGCAAAAAATACAAAGCACGAGTAGTGTGGTTGTCACTGCTGAGAACCAACTACCGTTGTAACCTCTTATTAATAGAGTGTCGGAAGTTTGGCGTAAGTTAAAGGTGATTGTGTAGTAGTGAAATTTACTCCATTTCACTACTTAAATTCTTAAATCCATTTTTGTGGGATATGAAGGTGGAGTCATTATGACTTTAGCTGGTATAATTTGTAAATAAATTTGAAACTTTTAAGAACTTTGGCTAATTTTATGTTAGAAAGTAAAAAGTGAATTGATTCCGGTTTTTTTCGAGGCAGTAATCAAATAGAGAAACAAATGGCTGCATTTCGTGGACTTACTTTTCATTCCGTAAGGAGTGTATATGCCAGTAGAGAAGAAGAAGAGGACTTGCCGTTCTGTTTGTTGGAACTCATAGCTTGAACATTACTGTCGAATTTTAATTGCTTTAGTTAAGCCAGAGGTACTTAGTTCTATATCAATCTTTCAATAAGAATCCACACAATGAGCGAATCAAAAGCGCTGGAAATATGCCGGAAATATTTAAATCAAATCGATGCCATGTGTACCACTCACTGTACCACTCTTTAGCTAATTTTAATTTTAATTAAGAAAAAAGGGAACGTTGTGTTGCCACACTACTAGTTATAC